GTGGGTATTAGTCATTTCATTTATGATATTGATAGCCATGACTTTTTCTCCCTCTTTAATTGTCTTCACACCAATTGAATCTTGTGGTATTGCACATCAGCCAATTAATTATAGTACTTAAATTAGGCGGAAAGATTTTTTTTCGTTGTGTAGAATGTCAGGTTTTTATGGTTCAATCCTAGAATTTGGATTAATATATTAAGGGGAAAGATGCCAAATTTGCGTTTATGATTCATAAAACTTTGATTTGCGGGCCCCTTCTTAAATGGAAAACAAAAACGCAGCCTTAAAACTATTTGGACTTTGTATTGGAAATATGATAAGTCTTAATAAAGGGACAAGGACTTTGTATTGAATGGTCTTTATCGCGGTGTTCAAGTCAGATAAGTAACTATTACCAAAAAACACAAGTCACGTAATGTTTTTGGACTTGTGAGTGAAGGGATAGACAATTTATGTTTTGTTTTTTGAGGGAAAGATTGGAAATAAAAAATGTGGAATTTTGGGTTGATTGAGGTATCGTATTCGTATGGTTAAAGCTCCTTTGTGGGGTTGGTTCAAGGTTCATTGATTGAGCAGCGATAGTTCCAATTTCCAAAACATACTAGAAATCTAGATCAGAGTTGCTACTCGCAACAAGAAATCGCGAAAGAGGGAAGAGCCTCTCTCCTTGCCACCGTGGGCCTGGCTTCTATCAAATATTAACCTACATACGCAATTATCTGTCGAGATGAAATGAAAACAGTTAGGCTGAGTTGAGTATCTGACTGACAATCACTCTCCACCTTCACACTGTTGTTTGTATATGAGATCGAGATGATGAAAGGCCCAACTCCCAACTCCCAACCCACGGGCTTTGCGATTGCGAAACATCCATATGCATGTGTACGGTGATGCATATAATTGGAAACACGAAAAGGATTAAGTACTCTACAATCCAATCGCAGAATTCTGAATGACATCCCTCCTACCGTAGCCTCTCATAAATCGCATCCTGTTCGTAAATTTGACATCAATTCACGGATGTCCATTGTCCACTGCTCTAATGGTGGTTGTGACTTGTGAGATGTATTTATACTGTTGTTGTAGACTTGTAGTAGAGTAGAGAAGAGGTGAACGGGAAACCTTAAATTTAGATGAAGTGAATTCTTAATACATTTAAGGCCATGAATATGATTATTTGTTGTTTTGGGCATGCGCTGCGGCCTACGAGAGTGTCGTAACAAAAGTGAACCAACTCCAAACAAAATTAAACCACTGGGATACGACGGGAACCAAGAACCCGCTGCACAGTGCAGAATAATCTGATTCTGTAATAAAAAGTTTTCACCACCTCACCTCAATTGTCAGTCAGTGCACCGTGTGTACTCATGTATCCTACTTACGTAGGACGATTCTTGGTAGGGTAAGACTATAAGAGATATGGAACCCCGATTATTGAAAACTATAATTCCATAGGCCCTTCTTCAATGCCCTTCCCAATAACCCATCCACCGATCCTTCAATTATTCACATTGTACATCCGGATTTCCTGACTCTCAATAAAAAACCATTCCAACATCATCTATATTTTTGCACATCTGATACAATGGTGGGTTCCAATTTTATGGTAAGATGTATAGACATAGACCATGGTGAAATATCCAATCAATATTTTGGATGCATGGCTGTTAAGTCTGGACTCTGGAGCAGTGGAGTGGTCTAATTCAATGTATTCTTGGTGGATCCAATCCATTCATAGGGACGGATCAAACCCAAACCCGGTGAAATTTGATCGGTTACTACTTTTGTGATATACGTTGATCTATTGATTCAGGTATGGTACATGCATGCGTGTTGTGTATCATAGACATAGTAGTGGGGGGAATTGATCATATCATAGATGGGAAATTCAAAGAAAGTGATTCTGGTTTTTCCACCTATGCTATATACGGTTGGATGAATGCATGGATCGACAGGCAGAGGCACAGGTACAGGGGTGTCTTGGTCAATCTAAAGCACGACTAAGCATCCGAGTCTACCTCTCCAGGCCCAGGGTTAACCGTTTAAGTCCTAACGACACTCCTTCCCTTCCTCTCCCTGTGGAATCTACCCTTCCCTATATTAACAAGTGTGAGAGTGAGACAGGGGACATCAACTCTATACAAACCCCATTCCCATTCAATTAAACAACTAAATATAAAACGTAAAACGCCAAACGATATATCAGGCTCTCTCTCTCTCTCTCTCAGAGGAAAAGAGAGGAAAAGAAGAAAGAGAACTACAGACGACACGATTCCATTTTTATTTTATACTTTAGCAGATTTTTTTTTTTTTTTTTTAAAGTGCAGTACGAAAGAAGAGAAGATTAAAAGCAGGGCGAAGAGATAGAGGGATGATGAAGCAACGGCATTTCCTCCCCGACAAGCCATGGTTCCTCGCAGCTGTTGCTTTGGCCGTTGTGATAGCCACCGCCCTAGTCATCACCACCTTCACTCGTAACGCCGATACCTCCCTCCTCTGTTCCCTCACCGGATCCTACCGCAAATCAACCAGCGTCGATGCCGACTACTTCACCACGCCAACCCAACTCCTCGCCATCCTCCACTATGCAACATCGCGCGTGGTCCCACAGCAATCACTGGCCGAGATCAGAGTCTCCTTCGACGTTCTCAAAACTGCTTCCCCTTGTAACTTCCTCGTCTTCGGCTTGGGCCACGATTCCCTCATGTGGTCTGCCTTCAATCCAACCGGTACCACCTTGTTTCTTGAGGAGGACCCCAAGTGGGTTCACACCGTGCTCAAAGACGCCCCCTACCTGCAAGCCCACACTGTCCAGTATCGAACCCAGCTCTCCCAGGCGGACGAGCTCCTCCGGACCTACCGATCCGAGCCCAGTTGCTTACCGGCTAATGCTTTCCTCCGGGGCAACGACCGGTGTAAGTTGGCGCTCACGGGTCTTCCCGACGAGGTGTACAACAAGGAGTGGGATCTGATCATGATCGATGCGCCGAGGGGATACTTCGCGGAGGCTCCCGGTAGGATGGCAGCGATATTCTCGGTGGCGGTAATGGCGAGGGCTAGGGTGCGACCCGGGGTGACGCACGTGTTCCTACACGACATTGATCGCAAGGTTGAGAAGACGTTCGCGGAGGAGTTCCTTTGCAGGAAATATTTGGTGAATTCAGTGGGTAGGTTATGGCATTTTGAGATCCCACCGGCGGCTAAAGTGAGCGATGGTAGTAGTACTAGCGATTCCCGGTTTTGCTAGAACGGAGGAGCTGCGTCTTATCTCTGTCTGTCTCCGTTATTCATTCGGCAGCTAAAAATTCTTGGGAATAAGGTTTGGTGGAATTACTCGTTGTTTTAGATGTTATCTTCTTCCTTCTTCTTCTTTCTTTCTTTTTTTTTTTTCTATTTTCCTTATCAATTAATCGGTTATCATTATTATTATTATGGATACGGCGAAAGAGGATTATGAGTTTTGGAACAGAAATTTTTATTTATAGAAAAAGAAAAGCCCAAGTAAAACTGTAGAGTTGGATTCTAATACATTAGTGTAGGTCATTACTCATTATGTTTTTGGTGGGGTGGGATAATGTTCTTTAAGGTTAAGGAGGAGAAGGGCTAATGGATCCTCCTCCTTTACTACTGGCTTTTTGGTTGCAAGAGTTGTAAAGACCAGAAACAGGTGTTTTCCTTTTTGGTTGGTTTCTCAGTTGGCTGTTGCTGATCATTCATGACTAATTACCATCCCAAGCGTTTCGTTTGGGCTTAGTGTTTCGTTTGATTATAGGAAAAATAAACGCTTTTCATTTTTTCCACCCGGTTTTCTGCAATAACGGTAAACGGTACATACGGCAGACAGACGTTTGTTTAGATGGGTGATGTGAGTCCACCATGTAATGTTCCAATTTTATCGGATGTCTCCGAAGAGACGGACCACCATGTATTAAGCGATCGAAATGCATCACTCACTGGTGTAACGGTTAAGCACTGACAAAAGTTGGGTCAGTTGATCAAAGTAAACCCAGCAACGATCGCCAGATTTTGCGTTAGACGCTGTCTCTGTGTGTCCTCCTCTCCCGTTCTATGCCGAAAATTATGGTATTAATTGGACCCTTTTTTTTGTAAATGATATTAATTGGACCAATCACTCCTTAACTTCATCTTTACCGCAAAAAAATAAAAAGAAATCACTCCTCATTTCTTAACGTTATTGGAGGGGGAACCCAGGATTTGGCCCCATGTCTCTCTCGACTGTTACTGAAATCATTTATTACCCAAAAAAAAATCCCCCATGTCTCTCTCGATGACTCAACTGTTATTGGAATCTTTTATTACCAAAAAAAATAGGACAAATTACAAAGACACGCCCGTACTTTGTTCTGCATTAAATACCCTCCTATACTATGCTCATCATACAAAGACTCCTTAGTTTTTCATTGAAATTTTTTGGACAATTGAGAGAAAAACATTGTTCACCTTCCCTACCTAATCTCACGATACACAAACAAAATACCACAGTAATCCCTTCTACCTTGAACAGATTCCTTTCACACTAGCGCACATCGACAGCAGGAAGTACGATGTGCTGCTGCTCCTGGGGATCTTTCTTAGGCAGACACCCAACAGCTGCTCGCACAGACAGAGGGAAACCATGAGATTGAAGTCGTCCCGATCATCCATTCCCAGGCCTTCACTGCCTGCAATACAAGGTGGAGGATGCCGTTCGAGGAGAGCGGCTCCAAGTCCAATCTCTGCTATTTGTTCGACGTCACCAGCGTCCATGCTGGGGTCCTACACCGACTTCGACGCCGGCTCGAAGTAGTACAAATGGCTGCAGTCCGACTTGGCCAAGGTCGATAAGAGAGTCACGCCATGGATTATGGTCTGCCTTCACGCGCCATGGTATAACACCAACACAGCCCATCTGGGTGAAGGAGAGAACATGAGGAAAGCAAGCGATGGAGGAGTTGCTGTACCAGGCCCGAGTTGACATTGTTTTCGCTGGACACGTTCATGCCTACGAACGCTTTGCAAGTCATTTCATTTCTTTTGGATACGAGTATCCGACTGGAGACTGGTTCATGCAGACTAGGGTTTATAATAACAAGGCCGAGCAATGCGGTCCAGTTCAAGTAACGATTGGTGATGGCGGAAACAGAGAAGGGCTTGCTTTAACGTGGGTACTTCAACCTTCTGAAGTTATATTTAATTACATATATATTTTTAAATGAAATCAACGTTTGACAATCATTTTAGTTATTAGTTGTTAATTGGATTGAATATTTGTTATTTCATGTGGCTGAAGGTTTAAGAAACCCAGCTCTCCTTTATCTCTGTTCCGAGAGGCGGGCTTCGGACATGACCGGCTAAGGGTGTATAACCGAACGCATGCTCACTGGTCATGGTACCGGAACGACGATACTGACTCAACCGTCGGTGACCAGGTGTGGTTGGAAAACCTTGCTGCGTCTTCTAGATGTGGGGTTTCTGTACATTCTAGATCTGGTGATGATGAACTATAAATAAACAAAAGAATACTGAATTTCTTTTTGGGAGGGATTCAGATATGGGATTAATCAATTTATATTCCTGACTTGGTTAGTTTGCATATATCTAGATGTGGCGAGTGACCATTCTTTTTTTTTAACCTTTGTCTTATTACTACCTTGGTTGTAGTGAAGTTACAGACAGAAGAAAGGGAAAGTGGAAGAACAGATAGAGAGAAATGTGAAAGAATGTGAGATACAAGGGATTATTGTCGCCGCTGTTCGTGTATAGTGAGATCGGAGAAAGATGAAGAGTATTTTTTCTCAATTGTTCAAATAGTAATTATAAAGATAGTATAGAGATTAAAAAATATTATAACGGCGAATTTCAATAAAAAGCTAACTGTCTCACGGTCTTAGTAATAAATTACAGGAAGTCTTTGTCACAGACCCACCCCATAGTACGGGGGTCTTTGTAATTTACCCAAAAAATATCTCTCTCTGGACTGTTTTGATTCATTCTCAATGACTCCATTGACATTTGCTTTTACATGGGAGACAAGAATCTTACAACAAATAAAGCTGCTGGCCTACCATTTGATTTGACCAGAATCGGCAATAGGCCACGTCTTCAACTGAAAATAAATAAATCTATTTTTTCACTTCCCAACATACCACATTAATAAAAATAACGCCCTAATCAGTACGACAGCGTCAAAGTAGTCTTTTTAACATCACCCCAAAAAAGAAATTTACACAATGATTGCTTTTTTTTTTCTTCAAAAAAAGACATCAACAGAAGTGATTGGCTTATTGCTAAAGAGATTATTAAAGATGGCTAAAGAAAAGATGCCAAGGAAAAAAAAACACAGAAATCTTTTGTTTAAAAATGAATGAATATATCACGCGAGATCATTAAAGGGGTGTGGTATTTTTCTTGACTTAAATGTTAATATTTATGTATTTAGGATGAAAATGTAATTTCAATTAATATTTTTTGCATCATTTAATAAAGTATTAAGTTTTATTCTTTCTTATTAAAATCTTATGTTTAAGTTATTTTTCATTAATAAATACTATTAATTAGATTTATATCCAATAATTTTAACAATATAAATCCATATATTTTAAAACTTACTCAAAAAATAAAACCATTCTTTATCCAAGTGATGACTAAGCAATTCAATCATCGGAATCAAAATGGTCAATCCATTAAGTCATAGTCAAATAATAACATTTATAAATAGAAATAAATATAAAAATTACAAAAATTTAGAAAAAATTAGGCACATTTATGATATTTTTATTAATCAAGTTAAAAAATAAATTTAATAAACAAGAATTATTTTTATTGATAATGGAAATGAAATACATAATTTAAAACTAACCAAAAATGAAATTATTTTCTTGTTTGGTGGAGATCAATAGTTCAACTTTTGGGTCATCAAATTTGTCAACCTTTAATATCATAATTAAATAATAAAAATTAATAAAATATAAAAACAAAAAAAATGAAAAAAATAGAAATTTTACAAAAATATTTGGGCACATGTATAATATCATATATTTTTCATATTAAACGAAAAATAAGTATACATAACAAAATTATTTTTACACACATAGAAATAAAAAAGAAATTATAGAAAATTTTGAACACATCTATAATTCTATATTTACACTACTATTAAAAATAGAAATAAAAAATTATCTTCTTAGTGTATCTATTTTTGATCATCCAGTTACAATTGATCATTGAACGGGGGAGATTGAATAAGGGACTGAGAGCTTCAACAATTGATCGGTGTTCGGTTTCATAACCCTTATTCCCCTTTCCTTCTTCTAACACTCAGACAAAATGGATAAAATGGTCAAAAAAAATATCATAAAGAGTAACTTTGCCATGTTGAAATTATTTAATGCGCACTTGATGTCACGTGACGGTGTTAATTAATGGTCATTATTTAATTTGCACTTGATGTCACGTGATGGTGTCGTTAGTCAACTAAGAGTAGGGACCTATTAGACAAGGTACTATAGAAACACGTTTTGAAATTTAGGCATTGACTTGACACAACCCCTAAAGTTCAACATACTATTCAAGAATTTCCCCTAAAATTTTTAAAATAGAAATAAATATAGAAATTTACAAAAAAATATTGAAAAAATTAGACACATTTATGATATTTTTATTAATCAAATTAAAAATAAGTGTAATAAACAATACTTATTTTTATTGATAATGAAAATAAAATACATAAGTGTCAACATTTAATGCCATAAATAAATAATAAAATTTAATAAATTATAAATATACAAAAATGAGAAAAATACATAAATTTTGTAAAAAACATTCAGGCACATGTACCTATCATATTAAACAAAAAGTAAGTGTGACATATCAGAATTATTTTTACACACAAAAATATATAAAAAAATTGAATACGTCTATAATTCCATATTTACACTACTATTACAAATATAATAAGATTGTGAAACTTTCTTTTAACTAAAATCAAGGTTTTAAAAATCGACTCAGAAACAGAACTGCTTTGGCTTCCAGTTTCCAGGTCAATACTTCAACTATTCAATTTGAGCAGGTCAATGTGGTAAGATGTAAAATATAAAGTAACTTCTTATTTTGATTGTTAGATTAAGATTAGTTTAAAGTCCATCATATATATACATTGTTATGAGAGGGAGTGTGAGACTTTGAGAAGGAGGCGGCTAGTTAAAGCTGATAAGTGAGAAAAAAGTAAGAGAAGAAGAGGAAGGAATTGCCGCTAGCGGCTATCTCCATGTTTATCATCACTATGGCTACAACACCGTTTGCCCTCTTCTTACATCTCTTTAAATCTCTTAAATCCCAAATCATTGTTTCATTAGTGTATATCAGATTTGAATATAGTGTTTAATCTCTCATCTCTTGTATCAATTTTTTGATTTCTTCATTAGAATTGCATTTTTTTTATTGTTAAAACTTAAAAAGAATCATAGAAAAGAGAAAACTCGAAAAAAAAATGAAAAAACTAAAAACTCTAACTAATTTTGGCCCTTGGGAATAATTGAATAAGATTATGAGATATGAAAGTTTAGGACTTATTTGACAATGTTCCCACCTGTTCCTGTTCCAGAACAAGAATTTTATTTCTTGCTCTTCAGGAATAATAGATACATTTAGCAAATAGTTCTTCGAGAACAAAGTATGGAAATGAAACAAAGTATCACATCGGTTAAAGATTGTTAAAACTCATCTTTGCGGTGGGAGCAAAAACGGTTTCAGGTGAATCTAGCTGGAGAAAATGTGAGTTTAAAACAGAGCACATGATACAAAACCAAGTACGATGATGAGACAACATACTTGTTGGCACATTCGTGGACAGAAATGTTGCTAGTGCTTTCTACCGTTCGCTTGCAATTTGATTAAGCCAAGGGAGTCCCTCCTTCCTCTGAGATTTGCAGCGGCAAGTTGGGAAGGTCCACTATCGAACGAAAATGTTTGGTAGGGCTTCTTTCTATCATTTAGTGTGAAATACCCAAAATACCCCTTCTCTCATGTGGGGTATTTTGGGAGCGTCGATTTTCCACTCCCGAAGAATGCATTCTTTGGGTGTTATTTTCACGTGAGAACACCTTTTTTTCTTTCTTGTACCAAACGCGTTTTTCCTCTATGAGAACACTGGGAACATGCAAAACGTTCTTGCGGAACGGCCAAATAGGGCCTTATTTTTTCAATTTTTTATTTTCTAATTTTTATTTAAAATAAATAAATAATTTGGAATTGGTTTAAAAGCAACCAAAGAACCGTTAACCGAGTCAAACATTTTAACGGTTAAACCATCCAGGTCTTTAGTTCTTTGACCAATTCAATGGTTTTTTTTTTTTTTGGTTAAAAAGTGTTTCAAGGCCAAAACGGAACCAGTGACCTGACCAGTTCCCGGGCCAAAACAGAACAATGACTAAAATACTCATTTTTGAATTTAGTCCATATTTAATTATAAGGTTTAAATTGTAAATTGAACTACTAATTTTTACCTCATTCAATTATTTATGTTTAAATCTTACATTTTTTATAAGTAAACAAAAGAAAATGGATACACTAAATAGATAAAACACTATGAAAAGAATAGTTTAGCCAAGCAGATAGGCTTGTCAATAATACTTGAAACTTCACAATTCGATCTGATTATCACATATTTGGATGAGATGTTTATTGATTTGGATTTTACAATCTACATCTGAATAATAATAAAAAATATAAAAACAAAAAATATATAAAGTTCATAAAAAATTTTGAGTATATTATTATTATATAAAAAAGATGAATAGAAGCAAATGTTGGGGAAAACACAGGTAAGTCACTACTCACTTTCAATTATGGTCGATGTTTCTCCCATCACACCAATATCCTGCTAAGGGCCGAAATTCGATCAATAATTGATAAAGAAAGGAGAACTAAGTATGGCCTAGCGACCCTATATCCCATCTCATAGCAATGGTGATTGGCCCGCCCCTCTTCACTTTTAATTCAGAGAAGAGAATTCCCCACAAGACGTTAAATGCCGACGATGATGTTGACGATTGGAGTCCACAATTACCAACAGTACTGATTGATACAAATGATACGGAGGAAACACCCAATCTGGATTTGTCCAGCAATTGTCTTTGTGACCACACTGATCAGTTGAGGGAGGTAGTGAGTGAAACTGTTAAAATTGGAATCTCTCGTACGTGTTCATTCTGTATTTTGATTTTTGCAGCCTTGAAAGTTGAGAAGATGGGTTGTTTTAGATGTAATTAAATTAAATTCCTTTCCTTTCTTTCCCCTCTTAACTTTTCAAAACGTTGGTTGCAACCTTGCAAAGTGAAAACGGAAACTAAAGAGGACTTAAAAATTAAAAATAGTTAATGTGTTGCGTTTAGATAACCTCCTGGATTTTTGCTTTCTAATCCTAAAAGCTCAAGTCCCCAATTTTGAGAATGATCCGATTCTAATAGAACAACAGCTACGCACTCAAGGAACAGGTGTCCATAATTTTATAACGTGCTTACTCAGCGTACTTGCCTAGTGTCAAAGTGTGTTTACTAGATCCTGGCCGATTCCCCAATTTTTAGGCTCTGAGCTTTGGGGTTTGAAAGTGTTTTCGCTTTAGATAATTATGTTTTTAAAAGCATTTCTTACTAAATGCATAAAAATACTTTTTATTGAAGAAAAAGTAAAAAATTATTCAAACTAGCCTTGTTTATTTATATGATGTTGTTCCTTTCGCAGGTGAATCAAAATTCTGGCAAAGGAGACTACTACGACACTGAGAGTCTGAGACAGGCATATACAAGTAACAACGACGTAAGCTCCTTTCTAGTCATTGGGCCATCTGGGCATTTTCAATTGGGCTGGCCCAATTACAACTTTATGCCTTTTTTTTTTTTTTGCTTATCAAACCAAAGATCCAAAGTCCAACCAGTCCCGAAGAACATTGATAGCATCTCCCGTATTTGCATATTATGTTCCCAATATACAGCTGCAGTGTGCTGTGAGTATCCAGATTGGAGTTTCCACGCCTTGATTTCTACTAGTGGGCTGAGTCTTGGGCTGTTGGTCCTGAGTTTGATCAAATTTGCATATGTTTCATACTTTTTTTTTTCAACCAAAGATGCCCATTGGGATTAGGGTCAATTGCTAAAATCTATCCTATAGTTTGTGTTTTATTAAAACATCCTTTACAGTTTGCAATCAATTTACTTAATCAACCTTTCATTAGATGAAGATAAAATGACAATTGTAACCCTAATATCCATTCAAATAAATTTAATCAAAAGAAACTAAAAACAAAGATGCCATTTTTGCCCCTAGTAAACAATGGACAACCACTCTATTTTTTCTATTTGGTCAATTTTGTTTTTTATACAAAAGGTGTTACGGGTACTTTTGGAATAAACAACCATTGATCCGTACCCTTGAACATTTTTCACTCAGTTTAGAGGTATTTCTGGAATAAACAACCATTGGTCCATGCCCTTTAACATTTTCCAGTTATTTTAGGTGATCATGTTACTATTTTCATATATAAAAAATAAACAAATAATTCTTAATGAAAGGTCAATTAAATAAATAGGTTGCAAAATATAGTGGGTGTTTTAGTAAAATGTAAACTATATGGTAGGTTTAAGTAAATCTGTGAAACTATAGGGGTGTTCTAGTAACTGACCCTTATTATTATATGCTTCTTGCATTGATAGTTTTTCAAATTAATATTAATTGTTCAAAGTTTTAACATGAAATTTGCATTTAAAAGATGGTTTTTCACACGTACACGTGTGGCAAGGTCTTTCACAGGGCTGTCAAGGGGTTGGATCTAGGTCAGGACAGGGTGGTCTCAGTCCCAAACGATTATTAATCAAAACAAAATAACAGACCCAAAACTGTCCTAATAAATAGTCAGGTCTATCTGGTCCAGACTCGATAGACCTGAATCCTGATTATATTGAAAACTATATTTATTTATTTAAATAACAACTTAAAAATGATTAATTCACTCGATAGACCATAAAGTGATTGATCAAGAAATCATGGGAGATCACTGGCCCATGGCCCATGGCCCATGGATATCACTAACCGAACTTAAGGTTTCAAGATTAATTCACCTTTCACAATACATAGGAATCGGAAGATTGGTTTTCTTAGTTTAATAAGTTCCTTATTTGAACCGAATCTCTGTTTTGTTGATCTAGAAAATCTTTGGCTTTTTCAGGCCATAATGATGCATTTATTTTGTGGCTGGTTGGCATGAAATGAGATAATATATGTTTCCTTCCCATTGCAACTGTCCAGGGGTATTTATAGAGAAGTAGAAACGCTAAAGAATTTGAATTTATAGAAAAATAAGGTGTAAGTAATTGTTTAATCCTTGAAAGTGTGAAGAAAGAAAATACAAATAAAGATAGATTTCAATAAGAGGAAGAAAGATTCGATGCGTTTAATTGAGAAAACAGGGTGTAAGCTGAAATTTTGCAAATAGAGAACAAGATTATGTGGGCAAAATCATTTACTGAGCTACTGAGATGATTAACCGCCCTGTCAATCATTTTCTGGGCAAAATAATGAGCTATTGAGCTAGATACCAACCATAAGACGAAAACAGGCTGAGATGATTAATTGCTGCTATTTGAAAGCCCTTTGGTGTTCACCATTTTTTCCATCGACCATGTCTCCCAACTTAGTAATGGGATACGCTTTCGACAACTTATTGCCAGGAATTCCAATATCCCAAACCCAAAGTTCTCCCTATGGATCATGAATGTTACATCGAACTAACAAAAGTTAAAACAGCTTAAATTTTATTAATCTCAAACTTCCAAACAAATTCATTTTCTCTAGAATGCAGGGATGCGTCCTCCATTTTCAGAGCACTTGGCTCTTCGTTGGAGAGAGAGGATCAAACACATCTAAAAGAAGAGATTAAGAAATTTATGATAATGTCAGGTATTTTAGTAAATTTACATGTGAATGGTGACATGAAGGATAAATATGGTATTTTAGAAAAATTAATACGGTATATAAGTGCTTCCCGTCTAAAAAAAAGTTAACGGAAGGAGGCAATTGTATATTTTTCTGAAACTACAGAGAAGGTTTTTATATTTTACCCTTTCATTAATAAAGGATGGAGAGAGGAATTTTAGATTCCTTTGACTTTGAGCCCCAAATTACTTCACCAGATGAAAGATTTTTGTCATTTAGGACGGCACACAACAAGTTGACTAGCTAATCCGATTCACCTGATTCCTGGTTTGAACAGTTCAACCTATGAAAATTCCAATTATTCCTGGTCTTCAGTGACCTGTAAACGCTTCCAGTTCCAGTTAAACCCTGTTCAACCAACCAGGTAAACAGGGTAGCTCTCCCCCACTAACATCATTACATCCTTGTAATTTGGAACGAAGAGGAGTAGATGTTCATCCTCGGTGACGGTTAGTTCACAATGCTTGAGTACTCGATTCCGAGCTTGGATTTCAGCCAATGAGATGAAGTTCCCAGCAAGGAAGGAGGATTTTCTACGTGGATGTCAAGCAGGAAGCAGCTTTGAAGGCTTTAATTGGGTCTAGTAAAGAGGGAAAGGAAGATTTAATTCCCCAAGGCCTCCCAGGGATGATGAGTTGACGACTCCTCAGGGCTCAGGGCTCAGGGCTCAGGCTCAGGTACACGAAGCATATAAAAATCACTCCTATCGCCTTCTTCCACCAAGCCATTGTAGTATTGTGGGTACTTTGTCAAGACATACTGCATTTCGTTCGGCGTAATCGGACCTGGCCAACAGAGCTCGTGGAGTGTTGTTGATATGGCTTGGACCACTAAATGAGCAGGGATCACTCGACGTGCCTCTGCTTTTATCCATAATTTAGTCAAATCATTAATCTTTAAGTAGAACTTAAATCTCTAGTAATTTTGCAACAGAACCCATCGGAAACAAGTCAATAATATATAATTCAAATTCACCTGAACAACAGAACAACCATACTGCTTGGTATGGTATGGTATTCCATCTTGAATTTGTAAATTGGGTATTGAAGCATCAAACGATTCTTTGAATTCACCTTCTACCATAGCCTAATATTTTGGCAAGTCTTATATCAATATTGAGAAGCTTTGGCAATGGAAACCCTTGAAGAATGAGAAACCTAAAATCCACCGACGACGACGACGACGACGACGACGACGACGACGACGAAGAAGAAGAAGAAGAAGTCGATTTAAAGTCCCTAAAGTAAGTGCATATCTTGAATGTTGAATCCTATTTTACATTCATATATGTTTCATCAGATAATTCAGTTTTGGCTTCAACCAATCTCCATGGCATGACAGCAGACACGATCCTTTGAAGACTTGAAGTCTAAAATGTGTGACATTGGATCGGTAAGTTGTTAAAAGACCTCCATACTGTTTTATGGATCCTGTATCCTCTATACATACCTACCATGATGACCTTCCCTATTACGAGTTCGCTTTTGCCTTTTGCTCCACGTAACCCATGTTATCATGCGAAGGTTAAGATTCACTCAAACAGTAATAAAACAATCCTGTTTAGCTATCTAGAGCCCCCCCCCCCCCCAAAAAAAAAAAAAAAAAAAAAAAAATCTATCCGAAGATCTGGTCGTTTCCTGTATTTGTATAGAGGGCCCAGCTCGGCATACAAATGTCCCAGCTGTTTTGATAGTATCATCAATGGCGACCCCGACGATCTCTTTATCTGCACTCAATAAAAAGGATGCAGCAAAGAAGATGGTGAGTAACTATAAATCGTATTTGATCAACCTCCAGATAGTCACAGTACCCGGATGAGTGATGACAGACAACCCCACCCACTAAAACAAAGCTAAATAAATGGTTATTAAAAACCGATCGCCTTCGCATCTCTTTTCAAAAGGAGATTCCAGAGTCTGGATCTGGTAAGCCTGTCCCTTAAATACTTAACAGCCCACTTTATACACATTTAAGGAACATGTATCAGAGAAATTATGTATTTAATTAAGGCAATTCAAACAAAAAGACATTCCGTTAACTACAAATTTAACCACTAATTTTGATGCTCTTTTTCTTTGGTGGGTGCAGCTGACATTCGATTGATAGATGGCAATTCAACAAACTTTTTTTTTCTTTGGTGGATACATCATTCAGCTGACATTTAATTAATAATGTGCTAATACTTGAAACGCAAGGAAAACCTTCTCTTCCCACTTACTCAACAAATTAGCACTCAATTGAGTGACAATATAAGCAACACTCCATCACCAAAAACCTTACCGGCCAACATCATCCCCACCACAAGAAGAGGTGATGATGGTGGTGGAAAGGAAAGGAAAGGAGAGCTCAACCTTCATCATCCTTTTGTTGTCAGTCTCTGGATGACCCATTTCCTTGAGAGTTGAGACTCTCCCCAATTGCAATCACCAGTTGATCTTCCTCTTGGTTGTCACAGAGGTTGCCAATCCCATAAACAATACGAATAGTGGAACAAATACTATGAAAATTACCACAAAAAAACCAATCCTCATCGTCTTCTTCATCCTCTCTTCGGCCACATTACTCAGGCTCCTCAAAATCACAGCCAATACTTCTTCATCTTCTCACTCAACCCCAGCTCTACCTCAAATTCTTAGTGATGATGGATGCTCCTTTTCATCCCCAAAATGCGCGCAGTTCTCCTCACTTGTACCTCGCGCAGTTACATGCCACGCTAACTCCTCTATTGCAGCCACCCTCTCAGAGAAGGAATTCCAGCTCATGTCAAATGTTATCTCTCTTAGATCCCCCTGCAACCTCCTAGTGTTTGGTTTAGGACCCCAGCTCCTTCACCTATCTAATCTCAATGCCGGTGGCACTACCATGTTTCTTGAAGACGACCCAGAAAAGCTCAACGCATTCACAACGAACTCCAAAGCCGGCGGCACTCGCATCTGCAAGGTGGAGCACCAGAGAGTTTCAGGAGAAGCATACAAACTCCTTAAAGAAGCAAGGGCAGACCCAGCTTGCAGTCCTGGAGCGGGATCTCTGAAAATCTCAAATTGCCAATTGGCATTGACAAAGCTACCGAGGGAGGTATACCGGTTGAAGTGGGACGTGGTGGTGGTGGATGGACCGAGTGGAGACAGTTTAGAGGCACCAGGCAGGATGACCACAATCTACACGGCTAGTATGATAGCAAGGGCAAGGGCAGGGAATATCACAGATGTAATTGTTCATGACGTAGACCGGACAATTGAGAAGTGGTTTTCTTGGGAATTTCTTTGCGATGAGAATTTGGTTTCTTCTAAAGGGAAACTTTGGCATTTTAGGATCAAAGGTAACCCGAGCTCTGCAAATTTTTGTTCTAGTACTGCGAGTGCAAGGAACGGTTGAAGTCCAGTATCTCATTTCTTCCATTGGTTGCTCAACCCTCAAGGGATTAGGATGGCATCCTTTCAGACGGAGCGGCCGAGCGGTACAAACGGACCCATGTAAATTCGAGGACTGCCGTTTGTTGTTGCTACCAGAGATGAGCCCACAAGACTACCAGAGAAGCAGCAACAACACTCAACACCTCCAAAACCCTAAGATCAAATTGCTGTGCCTGTCACCAGTTTAGTCGCTGCCAACTATAATTATAGCAGCGATACCTCCTGTAGCTTGGACCAAGACCCAAGAGCTGAGTCGCATCACTACAAGGCAAGAAAGGGATGTTCATACAATACAGCCTAATTCGTGGATGATTTGGGAATTAAGATTACTTGGGAAATTGGGATGACATTGTTCATTCCAATCTTTTAAGCTATGTTAGTGGCAGAAATTGGCCTGTTGGCCGTAGCCTCACCATCCTTTTCAATGGAGATTGGAGAAGGGGTTTTATGTATCTATTTTCTTTTTTTTATATATATACACATTTCCATACATACAAATATATCATCTGGTAACGATCTTAATCGGATCAGATTGGGGGCAGATCTAGATTCAATGCATGGTTCAAAGTATCGATTCTCTGGATACTCAAAAATTGCCTTTCTAGAGTTTTTATATTATGATGTTTATTACTGCTCAAAAACCGATTTGATCTTTCATATCTAAATGTGGTTTACTCAAATCACATTTGAGTAAAGTTGGTCTTTTCTTCAGAATGACAATCCCCTCCATCTTGCTAGAGCAAATAAATATCAAGATGTTGAGCCGTAGTTGGGGAAGAAAGTCGTTCTTTGCAAGCACTTCGGCCTTCAGACATACAAATCAATCATTCAGATAACCTGATTACCTGAATGATGTGCTCATAATTCGAATGTATAGCAAAGCATCAAACAAATTCCGAGATAGAGCCAATCACATGGTGAACATTCCCTCAAGATCAGTGCAATCCGCTTATGACCAACAGCATCTTTCAAGTTTCAGTCCTTTCCTCTGCCCTATAGTCCCAGTCTTCTGAAAAAGACATGATTCATGATCGGGCCTATCAATGGTGGCTGGTGGGTACACGGGACCTGTGGAACTGGTGACAACTGACAAAGTTATAGACCAGAAATGACTAACCATTTATAGGTACATAAGAGTCAAAGTCAAGTTGGAGAAGGTAGAGCAAACGAGGATGAAGATATATAATAATTCATAAATTTTGAGAAAATCATAATCGGGTATAATCAGCAGCAGATTATATTCGATCAGTTTTTCCATGATTTAGGCTACAACTGACGTTATGAATAATGATCCTATGAACTAAGAGAGAGAGAGAGAGAGAGAGACCAAAATAAATTAAATGAAAAGAAAGACGGCTAAACCACCCAATATCCTTTGCCTTCTATACAAATATATGGGACATGCATATCCTACAAAAAATACTTCATCCTGTCATCTCTCCTCATAGCATTGTACACAGCTTGTACCTGAAAAAAAAATGCAATACCAGTACATGTCACAAACAATGTTCTAGAGTTCGTTACTCAAGAAGAAAGGCTATGTAAAAGCTTTTCAACAATGGTGGTTTGCACCAAGTTATGACGAGGGGCCTGAGCTTTTCTTTCAAAAAAAAATTGCATATCTACTCTTTTTTAAGATTCGCTATCAATTTTTTTTTTGTTTTTTTATTTTTTTTCTGGAAAAGAATATGTTCTTGTCGTCCTAAATTAGACTAATTCTGCAAATCCTGATTCACTTTCAAAAGATGATGTGTTTTCCAGTGCCTCGTATCAGAATATGCATGGATCCCATGTCAAAGGGAAAAACAAAAAGCACAATCATGCATGTCTGCATGCAACACACACACACATGAGAGAGAGAGAACCTGCTCACTAGACACAACTTGAACAGGTCCAATGTTTACAGACGTATTTACCCCTAGAAGATAATTTCTGCTTCACGCATCCCTGTTGTCAGGCATGACTTCAAATGGTAAGTTAAAAGATCCAAGTAATCAAATAAAAGTCCAGAAGACAGGATACATCAAAAGCGCAGTTGATCTCATGTTTATAAATTTGTCCAGTAAAAAGAGAGAATTAAAAAAAGGGGGAGCTCTTGCTTGAAGTTGCTCATACTCCTTAAATAAAAACAGTGTATTCCAAAGAATAATCAAAGTGGTGTAATTCTCATCTGCTACTTTAATCCTTGATAGTTTAAACACCCTCCCCCCCCCCCCAAAAAAAAAAACGAAAAGAAAAGAAAAGAAATCATCCTTCATGGTCTTCTCCTATTTACCTTCTTCCTTGTACTTTTGGCTTTTTCAATGTATATATTGTTCAATTTCTAGGACCTGGTCTGGAAATTTGGTATAGGACCCTGCTACCAACTTGTCTTCTCGGGCTATTATCATACTTAAAGGTCATATAACTTAAAGCCTCAACTGAAAAAGAGGTCTGATTGTGCTTAGGTTATTTTTTCAAATCTACACCTTTGTTTTTCTAATCAAGGTTAGACACTTGCTAATTGATCAAAAAAAGGTTAGACACTTGCTAGTTATTCCATCAATTACTGTTCCTTATCCTGTTGAACATCTTGGCAACATTGGTTATTCTAGGTAAGCAGACTACTTCTAAACCTCCATTTCAAGTTCATATTTGCTAGAATGGAAAAGATTATCCCTTCTTTAGTTTTCTTCCATCCACGATCCAGCTATATCTTTTAGTAGTCCTTGGTAAAGGAAAATGCTCTTCTAGTGTGCCCTATTTCTCAATTTGTTAAATTTGGTAACGTTTGTCATTTTTGACCCCTTCATGAAGTATGAAGTATCATCAAATAGCAGCAAGTGAAAGACTATAGTGGATGAAAAAAGTACTACACTTTGTACCATGGTACTAAATTTGTTGTTCAAAAGGAGTTGTACAAGGTATTATATTGAAAAAAAAAACAGATTTATGGACCAATTGACATTGTTTATGAAGTTAGAAAATTTTTCTTAGTAATATATGCTGATGATGTAATTATTACTTGTAGTGGGGGATCAAGGTAAGGGCATAGTTGTCAAGGCAACGCCTAGGCGACAAGGCGCCCTTGGAGTCTCGCCTCGCCTAATCGCCAAGCAGTTTTCTATAGCGTGTTATAACAAACTTTTATATTCTTAATTTTTTGAGGTTATAATTATAAAATAGACATTTTTAAACTAAAATA